CAACACAATACAAAAAGTAACTAAGATTATTTATCAAAATGAAAGTTACATTATACACTTATTTAATGACTACGAGGTAAACAGTCAAAATGTTGTCCCGAGGTAGTGGGGGAGACCTGGGAAACTGTTGCCCAAGGCCTTGGGCAACAGTTTCGCAGGTCTCCCCCACTACCGAGGGACAACATTTTGACTGTTTCACCGAGTAGTCATTGAATAAGTGTTTTATTACCTAACCTACTATATAATTAATTAAATTTGAATAAAAACACAAACAATTAATAAAACGTTTTCACAACTGTTAATTCACATACATGTCTATTAATTAGCTGAACACATAATATAAAGATTAAATTAATATTTTTAATTTAAAGTAATACTTAATATATGGATTGTTTGTGTGTTTTATTTAAATTTGATTAATTATAGAGCAGGTAAATAGTGATGTCTTGATCATCAAAACGCTTGAATATCACAATGACGCTTCAAACAGTCAACAGTTTATTCTGTGGACCGGTCAACAGTTCACTGTTTCATGATCACGCAAAAACAAAAAGTAAACCGTGAAACAGTTCAAAATGCTTAATTATAATTTATATAGTAGGTTAGGTAATAATATATTATATTCTATATATGTTCTTTATTTGTAAATTAATTTAAATTAATTTAAAATGTATCAATTGTTATTACCTTTCTGGTGGATTTGCTCTGTAGCCGCTGCAGCTTGCTCTCACTGATCAGGCGTCTCTGCATGGGGATGAGGTCTGCTTCTTTTCTCACGAGTTCTAGGAGCACATACAAAGAAAGGTTGTGGGACCCCTGGGCCTTTTGCATGTTCATACTGGTGTGCCAACCTTCAACCTGAAAAAGTAATGTTTAAATTATTATAATAACAGTACATATTTATATATTTTAATTAAATTACATTTACTTACATTGTATAGATATTTGATTTGAAATAAATTTTACAAATCAATATTTACTTATAAAAAAAATTTTTAATTGATATAAATGGAATTTATTATTAAACATCATCATGATATTACCTCATTGTTAGTCCGGATGGACTGGTTGAAGGTGCACCAGGATGACACAGGCCAGGTGTTGTTGTCGATCCACGTCCGGGTGACATAGTTGACGACTTCCCTCAAGGGCCCTTCCTCCCCCACAGAGTTGCTTACGCGCTGAAAAGCTGGAACGATGTGGGAGGAAGGGCCATCAGGTGCCGGACACACTTGTTGACATCGTCCCGCTCTCGGTATGCAACATAATTAAAATAAATTCTGAATATTCTGAAATTGAAATTTAAAGATTTTCTTATGTAATAAAAAATTATCGATTTTTTTATGTCTTTAAATTTTATAATAATGATAAGATTGTGTATCCCTTTTTTTACATATGTCTTTATATTTATATAAATAGAAATATGTGTTTAACACTTATATTAACTATTATATAAATAATTTTGTCATATATTACCTTTAGTTCGTTCTCCTGGACTTTGCTGAATACTGCCTTAGACAAGTGGAATACGCAACCACGGATCCTGGCCTCGGGGAAGACGTCCTTCAGTCCCTTCCAGATACCACACTTTAAGTCAGCTGTGAATAGCTCCACTGCAGGGGGGGGGGGGGGGGTAGGAAGGCAATCCACAATGGACTTGAACACCTGATAGATATAAATGAAATGAACAGTGTGTCTTAAAAGTCATAACAGTCATATATTAAAGTTAAAAAATATAATTATAATCATATCTTGTGAATCTTCTTTTAAAAATTTAGAGTATAAGAATCTTATCTTAAGATTGGAACATTAAACTATCTTGATTGTCCATTAGAAGAAATATGAAAAATTCCTTTCTGTAGTCTTTGGCATGCTTCCCGGACATCAGGGCAAAAGCAAGTGGCACCTGCTTCCAGGTTCGATGAAGTTTTCAGCAAACTAAAAAATGAAAGACAAGTTATTAATTTAACAGATTTTTCACTAATATATTTTTTAATACTTATAATCATTTAATACTTAAAAAAATAAGTAAATGTTCTTGTCTTTAAAATTTTTAAAAATGAAATTACACATTAAGTTACACATTAAGAGAATAGCATTTAACTGTATTTAAAAAATGTATCAAAATTATCAAAAGTATTTATGAAGAACTTGTAAGTAAAAAATGTATCAAAATATTATCAAAAGTGTTTATGAAGAACTTGACTTTAACAATTTACCTGGAAGTTGAGGTCCTTAGGTTCCTATGGTCCGAACTTCTGTCGGTGGCGGTCGGGTGCTCTAGACAAGAGGGTGGGGTTGGGACGGCTACCTTCGGGCACTCTGAGGTCACAGTGCTCTGCCATGATCTCCACCGGCCTTCCTCTTCACCTAAGAAATAATACGCCAACACCGGAGGTATAGCATAAGCTCATCTCGACTTCGTCGAGGTGAGCTAAAAAGGCTTGATCAGGAAAATCAATCGTTGGAAACAAGTTTATCCCTGGTAAATCGCGGAATGAAAATGTCGTGAATAAAAGTTGGTTTACAGTAAATTATAACTCAAGTTTGTTCAATAAAAATTTTATAAACACTAGTTTACTATTACCAGAACTGTATGGATCATCAGCATTATCGATTCTCTACAATTACAGTGACTTTCTTTGTACATATAGCAATATAATAACCATACTTGAACAGGTATTAAAGACTGTGGAATCCCAGTTGACTTTATTAAGATCATTTTCTATATCTTTAAAATTAACATTATCGTAATTTCTTATGGTGCGTTTGTAAGCATATTGTTTGAAAGTTTTGTATTTTACATCAAAACTAACTGGTGAATGAGTACTACATAATGGTGATGCTACATACACATTATCTACAATACTTGGATTATTAGTGAAAACTAAATCTATACATGTACCAGGGGTAGCTAAAAATTATTTGGTTCATTTATCAGGTTTAATAAATTACTTTGTAGCATTCTTTGTTTAAAAACATTGTTTCCACTACTCAACATATTAATGTTAAAGTCACCCATGAGAAATACCGGGAAGGACTCATATAATACAATTTCAAGTGAATCAGAAAGACGCTCAAAGTAGTCGACAGTTGTATTAGGTGGTCGATATATCAGACCAACTAAAATTTTCTTATTATCTTGCATATGTATTTCACACCAAATAAGTTCAGTATTAGTGACGTTTTGATCATCTCTCGTGATGAAATGTAGATCTAAGGAAATAAAAAATAGTATTCCACCCCCAAACCTATAACGATCCTTTCTAATGGGAGGATATGGAAATAACGAACAGTAGATGAAAACCATGAAACATGATCTCATCATTGGATATATTATTATCAAGGTGAGTTTCAGTAATACCATTTATATCATATTCAGACAACTCATTGTAAACAACGTCAACTTTGTTTAGTAAACTACATACATTATTATACACTATGCTTAGATTCCGTGTTTTAAATGTATTTGGTATTGGTCCAGGGTTTGTTTCCAAGTTTCCTATTATGAGTAAAAAAAGCCAATACTAAGATATAATAATGAAAATTATTGAGTACGTTTAGCATAGCACTTGCATGTAATTTAGCATCAAACCATGCGAACCTCAAGTAAGAGTAGTTATATGTAAGCGACAGACAACAAGAAATATATAAACAATTCGGGAGACTCTGGTTTTTAACACATAAGAGAAGATCAATCATGTGTGTCATAAATTATCATTTGAAAAATTGGAAAAAATACCCGAGTGTCACCACATGGTACACACAGGATGTTGACCTGTTTGAAATAAATTCAGATTCCGAATGGATCTACAATTTTCGGAACAGTAGGCATATTTTTTAGTATTTTGTCAACATGGAAAACAAGGATATAATACGTTTCAAGAAATCCATTATAAGTTGATAAAGATATACTCAGCATTTTTAGTGCAAAATAATTACACTGGTTTAAGAAAAAAGAACACATAAAAGAAAAAGTGCATTTGTACGGAAGAAAATAACAAAAAACGTAAAAATGTCTTGGATGAATAATAATACCATATATACAATCAAAGTACTGAAAGCACTCATGGGAGTTGAACGTGGTGTTAAATAAAATCTTTGATCGGGAAGTTTAAGTGAGTGAACAATATTATTATTTCAAATAAAGACAACTGTTTCAAATTTTTTGAGTTGCAAAAATCTTAAGAAAAACATTCAGAGACATTGAATAGCAAAGAAAAAATGCAGGGCCACATTGTTGTTTGCTTACATTAGTCCTTTTTTATACCCCCTGCTTGACAAGCGGGAGGGTATTTATTAATCTGGATTTCCGTCTATCTGTTTGTTATGCTTTAGGTATCCCCATCTCTTATCCGCAACTCCTCTTACACCACTGAACGAAATCTTCAAAGAATCTTTATTACATATTGCCATTATGACCTTCTATTACTTTTCCATCCTACACATATTTTGGGTTTCCCATTGCAAAACATGGACCGTGCCATTATATTCATATTAGAGGCGGTTGATCACTTATATAATTCACTGCTCAACGTCTTCAAATTTGTAAGATATGTTTCCTTGGCACCATAAACCATGTGTTATGAAAATTTCAGTTCCGCAGGAATAATATCAATGTTGATAAATTGTGGATTTTAACACAGCATCATTTTCAGAGCTAACAGGTTTGTTATATAAAAATTCTCTATGAATAAAATGTATTTCATTTACACGAACATTATACATGGAGTACGTCAGAACTTAATTTTTTTTTAATATTGTGATGAAAAAAGCAATACTAAGTTTAAATCAGATATTTAATGACCAAACATAAAAAAAGTGGTATATATGTGAGAGTTTGTGTGCGTACGAGTTAACTTGTATTAAAAAAATCATTTTGTTTTTTTACGAAATTATTTTACGAAAACATCAGTGTCCGTTTTTTGGTTTAAACATTTATAAAAGAGTACTAGATTTATCGCTTTTGGCAGGTGATACTACTGATTTAGTTAATAAATACGCACGTTTCCTAAAGTTTTAATGCATTAATGAATTCATTTAAACAAAAAAATGTTCATGAAAAGTTTGAATAAATTCTGTGAACCGGTAAAAATTAAATTGCTTAAATTCCGGAACCGTCGGGCATCAGGACGGCTATACCGCTTGCCGATAGTATGTTGAGTTGTCGATCGTATCTTTTTCTGTTTATGACGCCACATAAGAAAATGAGTTCCATTACGAAAAACTTTTGAGGTTCTTTATAATTTAGTTTTACTTTGAACGAAATCTAATATTAAAAATACTATTAATTTATCATTATTACATTTACTTACATTTCAAATTATGAAAATTAGATCAATTCAGGAGAAAATGACATGAACTAATTGTGGCGGATGTTTATGCATGTTTTCTGTTGAATATCATCGGAGTAAATCAGCCGACACAGTAGACTCGCTTTCGGCTCTATATAATCAACACAAATTACTGCGCATGTTAAATACGTGATGACCATGGGATATTGAACATAGTTCAACTCGCAAAAATAATAAGGGGGAGTTTTTCCCAATTCATAGTAGGAAAGTGTAAGTATTCTAAGTACAAAAATGCAGCATAAAAAAATGTGTATTGGCATCCTTAAAATAACTTGTGTTTTTACCTTTCAAGGAACTATATCACATGATTTAGGGGTTTTCCATAAAAAATAAGTGCACGTGGATATGGAGTTATACAAATTCATGGGGTAAGCATATAATTTTATACTCTACGTCTAATTTATGCAGTGATTTACATTGTTTATTATGTTCACATATTTCAAAAGACAAGTTTAAACCGTTGAATAGGATTGTTTTGTCAGACTGGACTCTGACACCTAGATATTTCAGACAGTGTGGCCACTACGGCATATTGAGATTTGTATCACATTTTTGGAAAATCAGACTTATTTTTACATCGCCATTTGTTTCATTACCAATTTCATTCTCTGTTTGTAACGTTATCAGGGAGAAACATAATTATCTCTAGGATGAAATAAGGGGATATATTGGAAATAAAGATAATTAAAGTAGATTGATTGTATACTGTTTAACGTCCCTCTAGAGAATTTTTTGCTCTTAATGAGACGTCACTGTATTCCGGTGAAGTGCTTCAAATTTTGAACTTTACTCGGCACCCTGGACCATTCTCCCAAATAATGCTTTCGCAGGCGAGACTTTTGTTGTTGACTGAGGCGTCACAGAAATTGGGAGATATCCTGTTTCGAATTACGATTCTCTGTATTAAATGTTTTGACTACATTTCCTAAAGTCTGCATAAATCTTTCAACTTCCCCGTTTGCCCTCGGCCATAACGGTGTAATTTTACAGTGTGTAAATCCGATGTACTTTGTAAATTCCATGAATTCTTGACTTTGAATAGGGGACCATTGTCTGTTTTTACAATGTACGGAATTCCATAAGTTAAAAGATTTTATTTAATTTTGTAATTTAAATTCACAATTTCTATCTCCGGATATTTTGAGTTATCATCAATTACACCAAGAACATTTTCCCCAGATGGAAATGGACTGCAAAAATCAATCTTCACTTACTTATCCCCATGGTTTGTTTGACATTTTCAAAGGCTCTATGTTGTTTTCAAC